CTGCATTATATTGGCAAATTTATGAAATTTCAGAAATGAAAATATTTTATAGAATCTTATGATATTCTTTGTAGCTTCATAGAGATACAGAAAAAAATAATAAGTTCTATAAATGATATTAAAGTTTAAAATATAATTTACGTTAAGTTTTTTAAATAAAAGAAAGTACTTTATTAAAGCAACTACATATGTATATATATATATACATATGTAGTTGTTTTATATATTTACCTTCCAAAATTTATTCTATTGTATTTTACATCTATTTTTCTATAAGGGGATTGATCTTCCGAACATTTTACAGATGTCGATTTTTCATCTAATTCAGAGGGTACTTCGATTGCCATTTGCTTCAATTTATCTGTCAAAATATCAAGTAAACCATTTTGTAACATTATTGTAATACCTATATCATCGTAGGCAAACTGAGTAAGACCGTGTAACAATATTGGATGGTGCTTTTCGTTTTCTTTTTTCTTTAAAATATCTAAAATAACTTGAAGTCCGGAGCAATAACGAATTCTAATACGATTTACTGCTTCGCGACAAAATAAACAAAGGCAGGCTACAATTTCTCTAAAGTAAACCGAGCAGGTTTCCACTAGTCGAACAGTAACTTCAACAGCGTTACAATCTCCAAGCGATAGTCGACATTCCGGTATCATTGCTAGATTGTACAAACACTTAATGGCTAATTTATTTTGTGCTTCGTAAAATGTCACAAGAATTCGATAACCTTCTTTGTCTTTATCATCTAGCATTTGCTTAATGCATTCGTAATTAGATCCGAGTATAAAGACATTCAGAGCCTTCATACAAGTTTCCGCTAAGTCTAAATACTTCAATTCACAAGATTTTTTCCCAGCTTCGATGAAAATTCTTGTTATGTCACGCATTATACCACTATTTAGAATTTTGCTACGACTATCATCATACATACTCCAAATATTTCTATAAAAGAAAATTATCATTTTTTAAGAGCGTATCAATTGTATTATTAAAATTGTTAATTTTATTTATATAAAGATAGTATTTTAAATAAAAATAAATAATTCTATATACCTCACAGCTCTAATTGCCATCATATCAGTTTGTGGATTAGTCTTCAAATGCAAAATATCGTGTAACTCTTGTATGACTCCTGCGGTACAAAAAGCCTTTGCGAACCATCGACATTCTGAAAGATTTGCTATAAGTCGATATACTCGGCAATGTAAATTGTCCCTGATTCTTATGTTTTGTAAAATCCACAATGTGTAAGTTACTATATTTGTATCCCTCACCTGTAAAATTGTATTATAAAAATGATAAATTAACAAATATAAATTTATTTTCTCTATCCATGCAAATATATGCAATTTAAAACAAGAAAAAAAAAAGGCAAAAGAAAAACAACAAAAGTACTCTAATTAATATTTTAAATTAAATAAATATGCAACAGCCTATTCAAATATTATCACAATATAATTGAATGGTAATACAATCAAGACAAACACTCGCACGTATAATTTCGATTTACACGCATTTGCATGCATGCCACACGACAAAGGCGCGCGCGCGCACACACACAATCTGTGCACATTATCAACATTATCGTAGGTTCGTACGGCAGTGTTTGTTTTTAATCGTCGATGGAATGGGCAAACTTGAAATTTTACCTGCTTCCTCGTGTCGGAATTTATGCAGAGATTGGCCAAGATGCTCAAGGAGGCATTGATAATCTTGAAGTTGCTTCGATAATGTAGCAATTGCACGAGGAGTTTCAATTGCCTAGTCTTGGCGAGGTATTTGCAACATTGCGTATCCTCTTTGAGTCGCGTTAAACATGATAGTATGTTGACTTCCGAATTGGCTTTCACGTGTTTTTTCAGCTCAAACAGCATATGTTTACCTCCCTTTTCGAATTTCGACGACATATCCTGCTTGAAACATCGATAAATACTATAAATTATCAATTATATTACACGGGACATAACCTTAAAAATCGAACAGCTGATGCAATTGACAGGCGTTACTAAACATACTTAACCACCCCACTCTCGTTCGGTCACTGTGGAACGTCGCGCGCGTGCGTCCGTGTCTGTGTGGGTTGCTCATACGTATAGAGAGCAGTAATGTGGGATGTGTGATATGCGCATTTTTACTTTCCGCTGCGGAGTAATAAATGCCTTTGTTCAATTTATTTTTGTTCGGACTCTTCGTGACTAGTCTACATTCTCGAGGCATGTAGCTTAAGATATTCTTGCGGCTCCTGTTCACGTCAAATGAAATACAACTCGAATTCTCTAGCAATCCTCTTAAAATATTTGTATATTAAAAGACGCGATGAATTACGCTTCGTGATTCGTAAAATTGTTAAATTCAATTAAATAAAGATGTCAATAAAGATGTCAACGAAGAAACATTATCGTGATAATTTGAAATTTTAAGACGATACATAACTGTAATACAGTTTTGTTTATATTTTAGCTAAAGTAATATATTGATTGATAAAATACGTAATGTGAAATTGTTAAATTATTGAAATTTTTGGACAATTAATCGTATACGATGTTTAAGTCGATTAAAATGAATTTTAAACGATAATTACACATTAGACATTTTTTAATTATTGTACAGCACGTATAAGTGTTTGTACGTTATGTAATTTATAAGATTCAATATCCATATATTGAATTTGGTGATTATATATATATATATATTATTTTAATTTTCAATTCGTATAGTAATATTTGTTAATTAGCATTTAGCAAGATATAGTTCAATTGAGAATTCAGTCTGTTAATACTTGCGAAAAGACTTTCGATAAAAATACTACGTACGTTCTTTTATTGTTTTTCTTTTTTCCTCTTCTAGAATCATTATCAAATGTAAATATGTACTATGCAACTTCTCTCAATCTAAAAGTATTGCATTTGAATTACTATTTGGATAATATAACGACCGTGCAAAGAATTGTTTAAGAAATAGAAGACGAAGAATTTGAATTTAAAACTCGTGCTGAATAAGATGTACAAATAAGCAGTTTTTAATTTTTTTTTGTTTTGTTTTTTTTTTTTGAGAAGTCGAATACAATTAGGTACATTTTTTGTATCAAATACTATTCACAAATTTGTATTTTAGAGATATTTTAGATAGAGGAAACGTGAAATTTTATTTTATGCGTTAGCTCGTACACACGCACGGGCAAACACACACGCACACGCACACACACGCGCACGCACACGCACACACATATATATATATGGATGTGCATCTACGGAGTTACGTACTCCGTACTCAATGCTTTAAGAAAATTTATATTATTAGACATACGACGTAAATCATCTAAAGGTAAGTAATGGATTTTTGAAAGAAAGAAAAAAATAAGTAATGCTTTTAGAAGAAGCGATCTTCAAAACTTACGTTTACACGAATTAAGCCGCGTGGAAAACATGATTTGTTCATTGTTTCTATTCATCGTTACTATTGTACTTGTATGTACGAGGAAGAGAGAGAGAGAGAGAGAGAGAGAGAGAGAGAGAGAGAGAGAGAGAGAGAGAGAGAGAAGGAGATTATAATACAAACATCGAAACATCAAACTATCTCCTAAGATACGAAGCAGAGCAACAATACTTATCGACACAATAGATATCTGTCGATGCTAATTAATTTACGTTTATTATACTATAAAATTACATGAAATACACAAACACTAATTCTCATACAAGACACTTACGCCTTGAGAAAAAGATAATATAATTGCAAAGTACATTATTTTAACGTTTAGGAATAAAACTGATATTATGATCAACAAATAGAGAAAGGGATGGATCTGTAATTTATATAAACGGCTTATGAATACAATTTATCAATTTCAATAATATTCATAAGCATTAGAAAATAGTTATATTGACAATACTAATTATAATAAATTGTATAAAATTGATGTAAAATTATAATCACGGATATCAAACTTGATAGATCGATAAAGTAAAGTCGTGCTCTTTATAAATGAAGCTTTTTAATTTTAAAATTACAAACTTTTAATAATTTGAAAAGTAAAATTAACTTATTATTGTCGATTATAGAAATCCATATGAAAAAGTTAATAGTATATACAATTGCATTTGTCTTTTATATTATCTTTAGTAATAGAATAATACAGTCTACGGCATATGGTTTAATTATTATTTACAATTTATTAATTTACAATTTATTAATTTTCATTTTAATGGAAATTAATGATATGTGTAGAATTGAAAAGGAAAAAAATATAAACCAACGTGACATAAATGTTATATACTTTTTTATTACATACATTTTTCCAGCTGTACGTATTATACAAAAGATACAGTTTGGCTTTTATAATATTTGTTAATATGAATATTTTTTTTTTTTTTTTTTTTATTTATATATAACATTATTTATTATAAAATAATAAAAATTTTGTAACATGCAAAGAATTCAAATATTTTAAATTCACATCTAAATTAAATCTCTGTCGATTCTAAGCTTAATCTACTGGAAGAACTGGATAGTACATTACTATATTTGCATTTTCGTAAAAAATATGATATCAAAGATAATTTGCACAACTTTATTCAAATACTCTACGCGCTTATGACTGTTTGATCAATGTTACAATATTTAAATGCCTAAAATATTACTCTTTTGACGAGGTCCGTCCGTACAGTCAAAGTCTTACGAGTACTCAATGACTTATAGAATCTATCAGTTCCTTGCTACGCCCGGAATAATCGTTACCGTACTAAAATATAATATTAATCTATAAATAATTTGTTTTATGGAAGTATGAGAATTTCGATAGTATTCACCGTATTCATTCGACAACTTTGGAAGAAATTTGTTTGAATGAAATTATATATATATATATATATATATATATTTCAACTCGATTAGAAATTTATTTAACAAATGAATATAGCATTCACTATCCACATATTAATTATTGACGTTCGATGAGAAAGAATACAATTACATAAAATCAAGAGAATTTGTCCAGCTGAGAACTTCCATGAACATTCACAAAATTCCCAATTAAATATATTATTGCATTACTAATTATTGGATGACTCGACCGTCTGTGTTTTATGGACACATTTATTTGGAAATTTCATTGAAAACAATTGAACCATCTCGAACACGAAACGTCAATTTCCATGTGAGGATTATGAGGAGCGAAGAGATGATTTATATGCATAATAATGGCATTTTTAGGCAATGCGTCGATCGTTTTAGTGAATACACCGGTAACCTAATGCGATTGTCATTGCCGGCCGATTATAAAATGATACTTTAATTGTAATACCTTGAAATTGCAATTTAATGCATATTAGTTTCGTTATAATCATTAAAGTCCACCTACCGAGGTGGATAACTGACTCTAATTTCCTTCTCATTTTCTTAATTATTTGTGCTACATATGTTAATTCCAATGACTCGATAATAATCTTTTAAATTAAGAAAACTAAAACGAAGAAATTTTTACTTTTATAATTAAGCTCTGCTCAACGAATTGAATAAAAAAAAATATTATTTTTAATTGAAAATGCAATTCTCGAACATTCTCGATATTCTTTTATATCTTTTAAAGAATTTTTCAATCCTCTATATAAAAATTCCGATGGCCACGAAAGTAACTTTATTTTAAAATAAATTTGAATAACAAAAATTATGCAAAACGATGTTCTTAATAATTATTCAAAAGTAAATGTCAACTTGGAAAAATTTGGGAATAGTTTGAAATTATAAAATAACGATCTCCTGAAAGGATTTAAATTTTGTTGACCAATCCAATATTATCGTTTCATGTTTCATAATATTTAAATTTCATTTCAAATTCATAATTTTAATTTAACGCTTTAATGACTCCTCAATGACTCAATGAAAAAACTTAGAAATTTTTCAACATCACCCAAATACTTGAAAAATAAAAGAGTATTTTAATCATCTTCTAATACCCGTAAATAAATGTATGTATTTGAACAAAAAATATATAAGATTGATTGCTTCATCCTTTTAATATTAGATCATCTTATTATTATTTCCATTTTTAGAAAAGTTAAAGAATTTTAAAAACTCGTTACTTTAATGGCTTTAGTTAATCTCGATAAACGTTTCACCAGTTTAACAGAATCTAATAATACCAGGAATCTCTTTTCAACTTTCGATCCAACATAAACAACATCTAACGCATCATGTACCTTTTTTACCTAATCACCTATTTTAATCACCTGTCATGTATTAGAAAAGGGAAAATTGTATTCAATAAGATGCTCTAGTTGACGGTACATTATTGCAATTCCTGGTATAAGGCAGTGGATGAATATCCATCGGATACTCCTTGAGCCGCTAGTTCGGCCAGCGTACGTTCAAGATACATGACATCCGGATAACCGTGGCCGGAAGTAGATGGACCCAATTCGGTCTTGTGATGAATGCCATTCCAGGTGACGACGTCTTCCCGACCCGTGGTTACCGAACGTCCGATCGTGAAAATCAGTCTTCGTTCAAAGGCCATCTGCAGCAATCTTAAAATGCGTCGGCCGAATTCGTTGTCCGGAAGATAACAGACTCGTGGAAAGCCAACCGCATAGTAGGTTTGTCCAGGATGAGGATGTTCGGGTCCTTGAATTCCCGATGGGATGCTGGATAGTGATAAATTGTATGCAGGTATAATTTCAGCAGAGGGACAAATTATTCTTTCATGAATTTTTATTCAATCATTTTACATAAGAATATATATTTGTAATTTATGTACGTGGAGTAAATTATGAATCGAATACCCTTTATATATTATAATATATAAGAAATACTGTCTTAAGTCATCGATACTTTACAGTTGCTGCTTATTTTAAATTCATAATTTTTTCCTCGTACTACCATTGAATTCAACTCAACAATGACACGATACTAATTAAACTTCTTCATTATCCCTGACAATGTAATATAAATTATTATTTATTAATTAACGATCCTAATCAAATGAAATAAAGATACATGTAATAATACATAAATCTTTGCATCGTTAAAGCTGTAATAATAACATTCAATCTAAATGAGTTGTAATGGGAAAGGAATGATTTATTACTACCCTTTAAATAATAATAACTCGAAGATTTAGAAAAGAAAAACTTACTCGTATGTGATCTGAATTGTTTTTGTGTTTGGAAATCCAGGTAAGCTTCTCGGTAGTCTTGTCCAATTCATTGAGCCCGGTGGCTGATTACCTCGTTTTTCTCCATAAATCATACGACAAACTGGACATTGTATATACATAGGATGACCTTGGGAGCTCAGCATTGCATTTAGACAGGCCAAGTGCAATCTGTGCCGACAGCGAGTTAACTCAACGGTCAGTGGTTCGGGAGTTCCCAAGCAAACAGGGCAAGAGTCTGTGCCGTCACTCTCCACTACCTTAACATAATGTGATATTACATCCGAAGCACCTTCAACACCTAGAAAATTTATCAATGCCATAGCTTAAGAAAATGAAAATAATTTTCAATTAAAACATAATTAGCTATGCGTAGCCGATATTACTAACCAACAATGGAGTCTTTGAAAGCATCATCGCTACTCATACTGCTATCTAGTAAATCTATTGGATTCTCATGACTTAAATACGTTGAAACGGTGTCGATACTCGGCCTTCTACCGCTTTTTGTACTGCTGGAGTCTGCATCCAAAACCGTGTCCCATGTTCTTCTCTTTTGTGTGGCTTCAATCGTTTCGTGAGAACTATGATTATCTATTGCATGCTTATTACTGAATATATTAAAATTACTCAGTATGACACGAGCTATATTCGATGTCCCAGTTTCTCCATTTTTATTCTATTTCAAAATACGTCCGGTCAGATGAATGATAAAACATTGATAAATTAGTATTTGTTTTCGTCTACCTTTTTATTACTTTTCTTTGGATTATTACTTGGTGGTTTTTTATGCATTGCTTTTGTACTAACAGTTTTTACTGCCGTAGAGGTAGTTCTTCTCCCTGTATTGGTTTGCAATTCTTCCAATGTAACTTTAACTAAAGGATACGGTGCTTGTTGAATGCGTCTGATAGGTCTAACATAACCGGTGCAACAACGAACTTGTGTCAAATTGCAAAAATTGATGATATATGGAAAACCCAGATAAGTTTTTGAAACATCAATTGTCTTTTCACCCTGTAACAAGCATTATTCATAAATTCATACAGTTAGTAGTAAAAAGTTTAATTAGCTTATGCTTTTGTCCCTTTGTCGATCTAATTTATTTTCTATTTATTTAAAGCTACAGCACATACAAAACTTTTATTCAAGATAATTTGCTTTTACTAAACACAAAAATCATCTACATATCAATTCTAATCGCATTAACTATAATGCTATGAGCCAAAGAATTTCTATAATTACAAGTAAAATCTTGTCACCAAATATTATAATTATGATGGTATTTAAATTTATATCTTGTTATACCATACGCTTCGATAATATTCAAAATTCATTGTACTATGGAGAAAATTGCTGACAAACTTTTCTCTGTAGATTTTACATTTCTTATTTCAATCTGCTTCGTCATTGTCATACGTATGTCAGATAAAAAGTACTCTGAACATTATATAATTATCTATCAGAATCTATAAACTTTATGTTGAAGATATTTGAAAGGATGCGCTGATTAAGTTTAAATATGATTTGGGATGTCTTAAAGAATTACAAAGACTATGTAATATTTGTCGACACGCACCCTTGCCCAAGCATCTTCAATTAGACATTGGACCTCCATATCGTAGGTGTGCCAGTCATCGGTATCGCCAGCCCATTCCCATTTGGCACCCTTTCCAGCCGGAGATCCAGGTAAATAAAACGTTCGTCTGACACCGTGCGTTTCATCTCCATCTTCGGTGCATTGAGTCTTAGTTTTGAGGTTGATGTAATATCTAGTGCAAAAATAGCTGCTTGCCGATCACGATTGATGGATCAGTGGCAAGTTTAACTTGATTTAATTATTTTATATCAATTATTATGTAAAATTAATTTAATTCTATGTTTTATAATACTAGCAGTAATATTAATTTATAAAAATATTATCTCAGTTAGTTACAGTTAATGAAATAAGCTCAACTATTAACAAGATATAAGGCTACTTTGCAATTAAACATAATTATCGATAGTACAAAAATATTCAATTGCGTCTTTAAAAGAAGAATTCAGTATTTGGAGATAAGTCGAGATTAAAATACTTATAATTATTGTACAAACAATGTATCAAATAATATTTCAATGGCATGTCAATTTTATAAGTATAGGTTGTTTTGCTTTTAGAAAAATAAATATTTCGCAAGAATATTTACACAAGAAAATATAATAATATCAATATTCTATACATTCGAATAAACTATGAAATAAATTTAAAATCTTCAAATCAAATGATAAAATAATTTAGGTCAATGCCCTCATTACTATTTTCATATTTTATCTATGATCTAATCCATTAAAAATTAGCAAACTAATATTTAGTAATTTATTATTAACTTGAATTAAAAAAAAAGGGTTAATAATAAAGTGCGAAAGTAGTAGGCAAAAATTACAGTTAAAGAGTAGCGGTAAAGTATGTGAATATAATATTGAAAGATATAAAATAATGGTTTTATGCATTGTGAACTTGGTGTTTTCAATATTTCTACGCTTGAGATTAATTATGAAAATGTAGCTCGTGTAGCCAAATATTATAAAATACAATTATAAAATATTATAAAAGTTATACAAATTAATTTCATTGGCTTATATTTGCTCTCCATCACTGCTGACATATTGAATCTCCTGCTCGAAAAATCCACCTGTTAAAGAGTCGTTGGTACACAATTCTCCCTTAAATAGAGAAACACAACGCTCACGAATATCTAGAATTTCTCTCTCATTCTCCTTTCTTCTCTCGCCGTATCACCCTCTCTGCCGTTCCATCTCGCTCGTTCTCCCACTCAAATCACCGCGAGTAAAACTGAGAGA